TAAGTTCATGAAATAGTAGTTCAATAAAATTTTGAGTGTGAGTGAACAAACAAGATGACATGGCCTTTCACCTGTGGCCCATCTCGAAAGGGTTAAATCACTTATTAAACAAACTACTCACATTTTTAATAGTATTTCACAGATTGCAAGGTTATTGGTCGATGAAAATTAAAAATTTTTGATACACGGTGTCTAATTCTGAGATCATCGTTCAGAATTAAAGAGGCCTTATGTATTAAAATTTTAAAGCCTTCATTGAACAACAATTTTGCTGCCTGTGAAATATTAAAAATGAGTTACTTGAAATTTTTGAAGTTTTACTTTATTTATTTTTTTATATTAAACAAGTTTACAACAACTACACCCATTGCATTAGATATAAATTAGTTGTTTAGTCCTACAGTTTTTTTGATAGTTCAGATATATATTGTGAAAAAAAAAGTGTTTTCAAAGAGCATTCATTTTCATTGTGTATTTTCACACTGTAGCAAATTTTAAAAAATTAATTAGACAAAGTAATATAATGTGTGGGTGTTTGTAATATTTGCTTTTCTTGTCTTGTAAAGGACTTCATGATACATGTTAAACATTATCAAGAAAACTATTTTGCAAAACGTAATGGATGAGCATTAGTTAGGTTTAATTGTATTGAAGGTTTATAAGAATGAGGGTCCAAGCTACTGTTGGAACTAATTCCTCCTTTGTTGATCATGCATAGTCTTATGGTTATGATTGTGCACATATTGCCTTGCACCATTTCCACAATAAAGTTTCTGTAAAGGATAGTGAAGTCAATCTTGTTCACACATCTTGATGAAGTCTTCATAGATTTTTCACTTAACATGTATGTTGGTTTTAAAAACCACATTGAAGTAAAGTAAATGCACAAAAATACATTTAAGCTACATACTACTTGGTGGATGGTATTGCTGCAATTCCATTAGGGATGTTTGAAGATTCATTCACTAGTCAGGGATTTGAAGATAGTGTTAAATGTTTGAAGCTTAGTTGGACAGTATTCAAATAATGTCAAATTTTTGTTTTCTATTATTAGCACAAACCATTTGACAATGTGTGAATACTAATTATATCTTCAGTGTTACTCACATGGAAAATTTGATCTTTGATTTGTATAATGCCATTACTTTGTAAAAGTTGTTGAATTAAAAATGAAATGCATACACTGCCAAAACATTATATATATAGCAGTTCTTTCCATTGGAACAGACCAAACAAAACACAAAATATAAGCTAACACTAATAGTTTTAATGTTGAAAAAAGAACACCAGTGTAACTAATACTAACTACTTGTCCCACCCTTTCTAAGTCATAAACATAATCAATCAACAATATGTTGTGATATCACTCTCTCTTGTAACTTTTCATTATAGCTAATATCTGTATTAATTTTTAATCAAAGTATTCTATTCTGCTGTTTATGATTAGTGGGTATCTTGAATTAATCAGTGATTTTATGTCAGAAAGACTGACTGCAATCTGCTTGGAATGGTGGCTGCTAAGTAAAGATTTTGTTTAATTTAGCTGCAGTTCTTTTAATTGGCCACAGTAGAGTATTTGCATTACGAACTCATTGTGTGCAGTTATATGAATATTGCATGTAGCATCAAATACTTGTGCATAAACAATATGAATTTTTTTATTTATACTTTTTCAAACTATATGCAGATGTTTTATATGGTTCAAAAATTACAAACACTAAGTTGATTAAAGGGTGCCTTGTTTTTTTTTCACATCAACTTATTTATCCAACGTTATGGTTGATGAATCTGTTTTCTTCTAGACTTGGCTTTTTACCACTTTGTACTATTAGGCCAAGACAGAAGATGGTGATGTAAAATTTTGAACGAAGCACAAAAATTAAAAAGCTTTCTTCAAAAACTTGTCTTCAGTGAAACTAAGTGACATACAAAATGCATTTTGTCATGTGAGTGTGGCATTGTTAGCATAAGTTTGGTGACAGAATGTGCATTCATACATAGGTCACCTTAAAATTGACTTGCTTTTTATTGAAGTAATTCCAAATCCTACTAAATGGCTTGGAATTATTGCAGTTTTTTAATAACTTGAATATGACTTCTTTCTGTAAAACCAATCACAGTTCACTGAAGCACAATGTATAACAGTAGGCTTCTAAAAATAGATTCACATGAAGTAAGTAATTGACCAATGAGTAGATTCCCTTGACCAACTAGAAATTTCTGTATTGAAAGAAATGTCCATACTCTTCCAGATAATTCTGAATCCAACTGTTATGATGAGACCATCAGTTTTTAGACTTTTCTTGAATGTGGCTCCTTTCTGTAAAATCAGTCTCGGTTCACAAAAATGATTTATACAACCTCTTTACAATGATTTTAGCTTTTAACACTACGTCTAGATGTTAAATCTTTAGCAGCTTCTTAAAACAAAATCTAAGAACAACATATTAAGTCTCATTAAAAAGAATCAAAAATTGGGTACATTAGACTTCTCCATAATAGAGACTATCAGCAATTAATTACCAAATCTGTAGGGTAGTCAAAAACATTTCATACTTTTGACCATATTAACCAATAACGGAGCTATGAAAGAATAAAGAAATCAATATGAAATCACAATAAAACATACTTATGGTAAATCTTATCCCACAATAGAGCTTGACTGAAAAATCTTGAGGAACTAATTTAACTTTACAATTTGTGTACAATAAATATAAATGAAATGCCCAGTATTTTTTAAAACTTCCATCATTTAATTGGTGTATTGTTAACTAGAGTGTAGAATGCATAGTTGAAACGAATAACTGAGAAACCCCTACAGAACATTTTTTCTTACTCTGTATTTCATTTTACATCTTCAGAGATGTACACAAACTAAAGAAGCTGTAAAAAACAAAGATTCTGTCAATATGAAAGATGTAAGTCATCTGAGGCATGTTCTTGCCAATTATATGCTGATTTTCACTGCTTTGTTATATAATGAAATAAATTAAGCAAACTGCTAAATATCAACATAAACCTTTTCTTGACTTCAATGTAAAAATTTGATGTAAGCACAATTTTAAGTAAAAGAAAACTTCTGTGCACATAAACCTTTTCAACGAAATAAGAATGTCCTTTTAAATTCATAAAAAATTCTTTTCCATTACATTTTTAGCATTGTTGATGTTTTTAACAAGAAATTAATTGCTAAAATAAATGCAGGGATTGAAATATCACATTTCCGAGGAATTTCACCTTTTTAATTGGCTTTCCTCATCAGGACTACATGGTCCATCTGTATTCCTTTAGTTATGACCATTGAAAGTGAATATATTGCATGGATTAAATAAAATAACAGTTTATGAGGAAATGCAATTTTACATGAGGGAATGTAATCTTCCTGATAGCTATTCCTCTAGTAAATGTAACTTTATTTCATTAATTCTATTCCAGAAATGATGTTTCATATTTTAAATGCAGATTATTTTTATGATACAGTGTGCTTTTTAAGAAGTTCTAATTATTGTAGAAGCTTAAGATTTTATACAGTTTTACTTGTGAACAATTCTCATTTCAGAATTTCTTTTCAATATTTTCTCCAGAATGCAATTGGGAAGTATGAACAAGTTGTAGAGGTTCTGGATTTAGCCAAAGACCTTCAGAAGAATTTTTTCACCATCATTCAAGATGTAAGTTACATTGGCAGAGATTTGAAGATTTGTGTTGCTGTTGCATTAGAAGCAAAGATGTTCATCTAATAACATTACAGCAAACTTATATCATAATCATTCCAGTGTGAATGTTTTATTGTTAAAATTTTAAATTGCTAATCAAAGCATCAAGACCGTAAATCATTGCACGTGATTCTTACTTTGTACATTTAGGTTCTTGTTGTTTTCCAAACATTTCTACACTTACTGATATTTGATTTAAAACCTTACTTCAAAAATTTTGTTAATTAGGCTTAACTATTAATTGCTAATTTCAGCTGTCTTACAAGAGGGGGAAATTTCATTTAACTTGATGGTATTTAATTGATTCTCGTCTGTTATGAGTTTACATTTCCTTTGTTTTACCAACAACATATCATAAATTAAGTTTCATGTTTTAATCACAACCATTTGGCTAAAAATCAAATTACTTGATAAGTTGTCCATTGTAAGATTGTTTTGTCATTGGTTGAATAAAATCACAATTTGTTATCAACCCATTAGTAAAATTTCAAGTTGATAAGCATTTGCACTTAAATTGACCTCGTTTGTTGATTTGAGGTGAACAACAGTAATGATTATATGTCTAATTAATTTTTACGAAAGACAATCTGTTGTTCTGTACTAGATAAGTTTTCTATGCTATTTCACTTATCATTCTAACCATTGTTGAATAAGCTTCATATACATTTCATAAAACATGGTGAAATGCATGCTTCTTTTCTAGCAACCCATCCCAACTTACTTGGAATTTTCATTGTGAAGAGCCAAATAAAGTTTTGTCATGATATTATTATATTCTTTACATTTATCTTATTTGTTAAAGGAGCCAATTGAATTGTTACAATTTAAATGCAATTGAAAAACAAGACTGTTGAAAAGTGATGGCCGTGGAAAAGATGGGGGATATTTTACTAATGTATAATAATAATAATGATACTATGGTGAAGAACCCTGGTGTCAAAATCATCCTAATTGTTTCAGAGTGAAATGTGACTGATACTATGATTAAAATAGATTTAGAACAGTTTACAATTTTACTGTAAGAGGAAATATAGTACTTGCACGTAAACATGAAAACAGACAGCTGGTACACTAACCAGTTCACTCACTAAGCGGTAAGCACCATTTTCACTGAAAAGGTATCTTTTGAGGTGATGCACACCTCTTCACACAATAAGCTATCTTCTCTGTGCATTTGCCTTAAAGATTTGCATGCCACTACCCTTTAGGCAAGTCCCACCTAAACTCACAAGATTGCTTATAATTTGCACTACTGCATACAAAAAGCAACAAAAGCCCTCTACTAATAGGATGGCAGTAAAAAGGATTAAGGAAAGACAAGAGTATTGGGTACTGCGTGGCAAAACTGATGCCAATTACATAACCTGTGTGGGGAAATTAGTCACTTATACTAGTAGAAGATGGTAAATGAATGAGTGTTCACAGTTTGAAAAAAAAGAAGGAAATTAAAGTTCCCTCAACATCTCAAATCTCGTTAAATTGACAAATAAAACAACAACAACAACACATCTGATGTATTCAGTGCTGAGAAACAGAATGAGATAATGAGTGGAAAAGCATAGAGGGAGCTAGTGCACAGGGAGGTTGTGTCGCACTTCTTTACCGATCCTCTCTGTACCATAAGTCTCAGGAACTCCATCATACCCTGTTGTATTTTGCAGGTGTTTCTTGTTGCTTTCTCTTCTCCACTGCGGCGATTTGCCTTCTACCTTTCCTTCTCGCTTTCCTCTTTGTTTCTGGAGATTTTTGGGTAGGGATACTCTCCTATCCCAAGTTTTACTTCTTCCTTTCTTCAAGCCCTTGTCTAGACCCTTTCTTTGCCCTGAAGTTTGAAGGTATTCCAGATTTGATTGAATTATGAGCTGAGGTTGCCCATCATTAATCCTGCTTTTCTCAGTTCTTTCCACACTGTCCCCAACCCTACCCTGCACCATTGTACCTCTTCTTTCTTATTTTCCTGTAATTTTGATGGCTTTCGATGTTGATCCACCAGTCACCACTTTCCTCCTAACAGTTGTACTATCAGCCATCTCCCTTCCCTTTTTCAGGCTGATCTACAGGGTTCAGTTGACTCTGCCTTTGCAATTATTGAGTAGTCTTGTCCTCCCCTATTTTCCAACTTACTTGGGTTCTTCCTTATCCTTAGATACCCTTGCCCTGTTCCTATGCCTGACCAAGACCTCGGTGTCATCCTGCACACTCTTATCTGTGCTCATTCATGCCATTGGCAACCTGCAACTTCTACACTCTTTTTCAGGCATATTCCTCTTTCTTCTCATTTACATTCATATTTTTATACTAGTGACTCGTCCTGTACCCCCTCCATTGTCCTCATATTTTTATTTCTCTTCACCAGTCCTTCCTCCCTCAGTCTTCAGTTGCTTGGTGGAGAGACCTCTACCCTTCTCTCTCTTGTCCTCCTATTACACTCTTCTATGCTCATTAAAACCTAGAGACACTTTTCTGCCCTATTCGTGCCATTTGTTGCTATTTATATCTCATTTTTGTGGTTTTCATGTTCCACTCTAAATTCCCTGGAATTCCCTCTTCTTCCAGGAACAACTCTCTTTCTGCCTTTATTGTTACGGCCTACCACATTCTTTGTTTGGTTTCCTCCTCTTTTGATGTTGTTGCTTACAGACAGTCCGTATTTTATCCCATCAAATTCATTACCTGTCTCCTTCTCTTAATGCTCGTTTTTATCTGCTGCTGAACAACATCGTTAAAGCTAGCAATTGGACTACCTCACATAACTTAGACAGGTATGTACATTCTCCTTTATTTATAGCATTTGCTTCCAGGATCTTCCCAGGTGGCTGGTGGTGCCTCCTAGGATAATGGAAAGCACTCATACCATATGCTCTGGCTCCATATATGCCCACTGTTGAGATGGGGTGTACTGATAAACCACTTGAAGCATCCTTGAGATATATTATGATATTTATCTACTGTCCAATCTAGATCGTACCTATTCAATGGACTATCAGTGAAAAAGCTAGCACCAGGGGGAGCCTTCCTTGGTTCTCTAGCTTGCAGTTGATTGCTTTTTGAAATAGGTTTATGTAATAACTCTTTGCATTGCCTCCAGTAAAAGTCTTTTCTAGCTACAATGGGATGCAGGCATTTTCTTTGGGTCTCCCTACCTTATTCTTCATGTGGAGTAAGGTAGACCCTAACACTTACCAGTTCCTAGCTGCTGGGGTGGTGGACCATGGAGAACTCTCAATGATAGAAACCTAACAACCAGATTCAGTGGGATGTGGGGTGGTGGTGACACTGTCAGTGTAGCACAGGTCACCTTTCATATAATTATACCAACAACATGACAGCATCCCCCATCCCACTGTTGCCTGGTTGTCAGTTTCTGAATAGTATGATGTTGGATTGGCATAGGAACAGCCAACATTAGACCTCACACATGTGGTTGGTAGGGATCCTCTTCCTACTGCAGACCAGATGAAAAATTATCGATGCTGCCTAGTTTTGGATCAGAGTTGACCCACCACATTTGCATTCTTCCCTTCCTACCATTGCCTGGATGTGGGGTGGCCTGGTGTTGGTTGTGTACTGGGTTGTCACAAGAGAAGTTGCTTTTTGCCCCTTGTGGGAGACAGCATCTCTTCCAGGGTACATTCTTTGCCCAGAATGGGAGGAAGTAGCAAACAAGCCCTGTGTAGTGGATATTGGCAGAAAAAGAATATGACCATCCGAATACTTGCACGCAAGAGGTCTGAGAGCCAATATGTATAAGCATGGGTGGAATATGTTCAGACCATACCGAGTACTCAAATGAACTCTATTGTCAAACTTATTGGACCAACACAGGCTGTAGGAGGAAGGCACCAGAATTATGAGTCATGTTATTCTCAATTCTACTGCAAGACTCATGGACTGACACCAGCTATGGGAGGAGGGCACGGAAGTCATGTAATATAGCATCTACAGAGTGCATTCAATGATTTGACTGCATAATCACTTGCTGCAGGAGGAGGAGGAGGACACAATTTGTTTGTAAGTGCTCACCTCAATTTAACTGTACAGGAGATGATTGCAGGATGGAAGAGGGTCTCGTCTATATTCACCTAATGATCAGGAAGAATGGCTACCATGAAGTGTCACACTCCATATGTTTCCGTTGGGTGCTATCTGAAGGGAACTCATCTATGTAACTTTCACACCAGTCCTCTCACCATATCAATATGGGAAAA